AAACTCCCCTTAGCCGGGGCGCACGAAATCGACGCCTGGCCTATGCCAAGTTAGGCCTAATACAGGCCCGACTTACTAATGTATATAGAGAGTAGCTCGCCTATATTAGGATAGGCATGTTCTTCTTGTCCTTTCTTATAAGACCTATAGGGATAGGAATCTTATCCTTTTCTATATAGACGCGCACTCCTATATGCCTTTAAGTTATATAGGATACCTTTTAGATGCCCTACCTACCTAAGTTGTTACATTATAAGAAGAATATTATCCTAGCTAGTAATAGTATTTAAGAATATTCTATTTTATTGTTATTTTAAGCTACTAATTTAGTTCTAGTAGTTATCTAACCCTGCAACCCTATAGTTAGAATAGCTATTAGAACTTCTAATAACTAAAGCCTATAGGCTTAGACTTCTAGACCTATAAGTAGTGCTAGATTACCTTTAGAAAAATCGCGTTAGATTGCGTTAAGGTAGAGACCTAGAGACTACTAAAAGCCTAGAGGAATTAGAGGCAAAGCTAATATCCTTCTACAACCAAACCCCCTAAAAGAAAAAAAAAGATTTATTATTCTTATTAAACTATAAAAATATTAGATAAAGGTAAAGGAAGGGCATTAGGTTTAGCTGCTTTTAAAAGCCTATTTACTAATAGAAAGAAATTAGATAAGGAAGACTTAATTAATAACGCCCTCCTAGAAGGACCCGCTTCCTATCTATCTCTTGAGGTACCTTATGCTCCTAGGAAATCTTAAAGTAACACCTCCCTTAAAGATAAATATATATTAACCCTATCTAAAAGGTAGAGGTTAGAGGAATAAGTAAAGTAACGTACTAATAAGTTATATAATACCTTGCTCTACAAGGAGATATAGGGTACTACCTAACTAGGCTAGTCTTTAGCTTCTATATTAAACCCTATAGTATATACTATAAAAGCTAAGAGATAATCTAAAAAGACGCTAAATATCTCTATACTTAGTAATAGTGCTAATCCTACTTTTAGATAATAGCAAGTATCTATCTAGGATTAGCTAGAGATTAACGCTAATTGCTACCTCTCTTCTAGAGTATAGATAGTGTTAGTCTAGAGACACTACTTAAGACTAGCAAGGGAGTACTTAGAGCCACGTTACCTATCTAATTCCCTAAGTCTTTAATTCTAAAAAGCTAAGGAAATAATTACCCTCCTTTAAACTTACTTTATTACTAGAAATAAGATAGCTAAGAGTTAGACTATATTTAACCGCCTGTACATAACTAATATAGAGATATTCCCTGCTTTTAAGTTATAATTCTAGAGTCTTGCTATTAGAGGAGAAGTACCCTAATTAGAGTAGTATTACTACCTCTAGATAAAGATTACACCTTCTTTAAGGATGCTAAATCTTACTTTCTAACAGAATTAGCACAATAATTTCAAGACTATAGTAGATTATCTTACTACTTTTAATATAGAACGCCGCCTATACCCTACCTTGTCTGCTCCTACCTAGACTACTCTATCCTCTAGAAAAGGACTAACCCCCTTCTAACACTCTAGAAACTAGTCCTATTTAGACGCTAATTAGAAACCCTATAATAGACCTTTAATAGCTAAACCTTATATACCCTACTTATAATAATAAGGTACTACCCCTTAAAACAATTAACCCCTATCTACTACTCTAGCTACTCCTAGCGCTACTATAATAGGAACCCTAGGAACTTGCTATAATTATAGGAAGCCTAGTCACTTCTCTAGTAACTAGCCTAAAGCCCCTAGGATTTAGGCTATAGATATAGAATAGGTTATTAAGAATTCTAAGGAAGAAGAAACTGCTAAATTCACTAATTTAGATAGCTATTAGACAGGAAAAAACAACGCCTAGGAGGATCCTCCTTCCTAGGCCTAACTTAATATAACTTATCTAACCTTTCCTTAACTAAATTATTTATTAGTTGCTATTTACTTGCACGTACAACTCTATACCTTAATAGACCTAGTATTTATTTAAACGCTTTAGTAGATACTAGGGCCTAAGGTTACTTATTCTTTAATTTAAAAATTGCTTATAATATCTCTTCTACACTTAGGGTACCTATCTAAAAGCTACTATACAAGCTTACTATTAAAGGGTTCTAGGATTAGATTACCTCCCTAGTTACCTACTATATTTAGCTTTATATAATAGTTAGTAGCTAAAAGGTTTATAACTACCCCTTTATAATAGTAGACTTAGGTTCTTAGGATTGTATTATTAGATAATACTAGCTAAAATAGTTCTAAATCCTAGTTAATGTAGATAAATCTTAACTAATCTAGCTAGAGAAATATCCTCTAACCTATGACCCCGCACCTCTAATTCTAGTATAACTCTACTAGCAAGTCCTATCTACTCTAGTTACCTATAATATCTTGCAAAGAGACGCCCTTTACAATTAAGAGGAGAATTAGAACTAAAATAGTCCTAGTTTAATTAATAGGATACGTAGTGTACTTAAAATTCTAGCTGCTTATAGGGCTGCTATTAAACCTACTACGCTACCTACCCTAGTTTAACTACTAACTACTACCCTATGTACTAAATTTAAAATTACTACTATTTCTGCTAATACTTTCTATAAAGGGCTTAGGCTTATGCCTAAGTCTAGGTCTAACACAAGACGGACCAAGTCTAACACTACTACTACTAAGTGAACACACTGCACACCTATAAAAAGGCGTAGAGGGCTTACCTCTCCTTTAAGATACTAAATACTATTATTAAAACTTATTATATTCTCCCTTAAGGCTAGTCTATAATATTTTAGTATCTGCTTCTAAATATACTTTACTAGTAATAGAGATAGACGCGCTAGATGTTTAGAATAATTAGGTGTAACCTAATATAGTAGAAAGGCTAATATAGCAGGTCTATAGATTAATAGAATAATAGGCTTAAGACTCTACTATAATAGCTATACTATGTTAATAGAATAAGGAAATACACAATTAGATTCTATCCTAACCCTCCTCTAAGCCTGCTAGGTTTAATAATCTACTACCTCTACCCCCTTCTACCTTACGTTATAAACCCTTCCTAGTTAGCTTGCTATATAATAGCACTAAGGTAAACTTCTCCTCCTAGTAAATAACTATAGAATTTAAACTACGTGCAGACAAGGTTTTTATTAGGGATAAAGAGGCAAGGTTTATATATATTTAGTCCTAGTTATCTCCTATAGTTAAGCGCGCTATAACACTAAACTCTAAGGATAGTGCACGTAAGTGTTAGGATATAAGTAGGTTTCTTAACTACCTAGCGTTCTATTATAGTAACTATTACAGGTAGGAGCGCGCCTAAGTTTTGTTAGAATACTTATATTAGGGCTAAAATTAGCCTTTTATAGAGTTCTTTATAAATTTTGTGCAGCTTCTTATATAGTTAGCAGGTTTATAGTAGGATAATAAATAGAAGCTTTTATAACTTTAGCAATCTCTTAATAGCTATATGCGCTTAGTTTCCCTTAATAGGGGAGTCTCTAGGACAAACTATAATATAGCTATAGAAGAATATAATATAATTATAGTAGATATTAAAATAGCTTCCCTAGAACTAGGCTTTCTTTAGGCTAGTAAGTCTAAGGAACCCTAGTAGAAGTCTACCTTAGATTAGGACAGTAATATAAATATAGTAGAAGTAGTAGCCTTATTAAATACACCTACTAAACTACTAATATCACGTCCTAACTAGATCCTATAGGACCTGTTTAATATATAGAAACTAGCAAAGGTCTACACCTAGTATAGATAGGGCAGTTATTTTATATAGGCATTTCCTAATACCCTATTACTATAACTAGTAGGTGTTAAGATAGTTATAGCATTAGCAAGCGGCCCTAATTTAGGAAACTAGCGACCCCTAACCTTAGGCTAAGTTAGGGGTATAAGGAGGATACTATAATAGAGGAATTATTAATAGTAGAGGCTATTTAGTGTCCCCTAGATATTAAGGTAGGGTTAAATAATCCTCTCTTCTTTATTCCCCTCCTCCTAGGTAGAGTAGAGAACGTGCAAGCAATAGTTAATTTAGGGTGCTAGTGTTTTAGTGTAGTTAAGGAAAAGTTAGTAAGATAGATTAGTAGAAACTTTATTAATATTCCCCCGCAACCCTTATAACATACCTAGGGAATTACTAAGGGTATAAGAATTTTATAGTTAGTAGTATTAGACTATAATTTAGATAGTTAGTAGTCTTAGCTTTTAGCTTATATAGTACCTAGTCTTTCCTATTAACTAATACTAGGCAGACTATAGCTATGCAGAGAGGGCGTTGTTATAGACATTCTATAAGGCGAATTAATAATTAGGAAGGTAGCAAATATAGTAGTATAAGAGAGTAGGAGACGCCTATATCCTACTTATATCTATATTATCTTAGGGTTAGTTATAGCAGGGTTGGTAAACTAAGAATCCTAATAGGAAGATATATAGGTACAAATTGTAGCAATAAATATACTAGATATATTATAGGTAATATATAACTTGCGCGTAATAAAATATCTGGAAAATGCTAATAAGGGAAGTCCTATTAATATACG